GCTGCTCTCGCCTGCTGCTGCATGTGCTCCCTGGGAGCAAGAGTCTGACTCTGAGGGTAACTGGAAAACTGGGTGAATCCCAGGTCTGTGGGAAGTGGGTTTCTGTGGAAGAAAAACAATTCGATCGAGCGAAGGAGCGACTCTAACAGCGCATAATAGGGATGGACAGGATGGTTGCCCACCTTGGAATAGGAACTCCAGAGCTCAGCAGCCCCCACCCAAACTCCGCCGTCCCCCAGCAGCGCTTTTCACCACTTGCTGAATTCTATTATTTTTTTTTCTTCCAATTATTTCCCGCAGTGCAAGTGGGATCCAGTGCGACCAGTCTTCCTCCATCCAGCCAAAAACACACCCATGGGCACCTGCTGAACGTGCATTTAGGGAGGTTATATTAGATACTGAGATATGGATTAATGGGACATTAATGTGTTCATTAACGGGTGATTTCAAAGGCTGGCATTTGAGGTTTGTCTTAGTGGATAAATCACACTCCTTGGGAGCTAAAGTCTCTGCTTTGATTCATTCACTTGGCCTGAAAGGAACCCCCAGGACATGGATCTTGATTTTAGAGGAAACTCCCAAGTCCTGCTGTCTCTGGGCAAGAGGAGACGGAGCGATGACTCTGCCTGGAGAGATTCAACCCCTCCAGATCCCACATGGTGCTGGCATCTTCCTCCAGCTCCTCCCTGAGCTCAGACTCATGGCAGGACCAGCTTTGGCTACTCTTGGCCTCCAGAACAGTGACTTTAACCCAGGTTTAGCCACTGGCTGAAGATTTAAAAAAAACAACAAGAAGCCCATGTTCATTCCTAGTGCATCTTTAAAAAAATAAATAATAACTAACACAACATGATGTAAAAAATATAAGAGGTGGTGGCCTCATTTTTCTGTCTTTGTCCACTTTTGAGCAATATTTTGTGCAGGTGACAGCTCTGTAGGGATTCTGGCAGGACCCTCTTCATCGCTTCAGACAAACGCCTCCCCCCAGCACATTAAACAAGGTCTAGCTTGTGTTTTGTGATTCATCTCCTCTAATCTTTAGGAAATAACAACTTCCAAGCATGGAGGAGAGCTGCAGCAGGGCTGTATGTGGTAAGGAGGGGAGCTGGATCTACTGTGAATGGATCTGTTTCCCTTGGGAATTCCCGTGTGAGAGCTGGCTGCTGGGAACTGCTGGATGCTGCAGGGATGAGCACAGGGATACGGCACTGCAGGTCCTGCCTTCTAACCCCCCCACGTTTTCCAGTGCTGCTGTCAGCTCACTGGCCTTTGCCCTTGAAGGGATTTTGAGCACGGATGGCTCTCACTGAAGTTCAGGTGGTTAAAAGTTGGTATCTTGGCTCCCTTCTAAGTCAGGGAGCAGAAATCGGTGACTTCAGAGCATCTTCTTCCAGGGGTAAAGTGAATGTCCTCCTGACCTTCCCCAGGGCACCACAGTTCCCAGTAACCTCAGAGTGTAAACAGTTCCATGAGACTTGGAGAAGTAACTTTCATAGAGACAAAGATTATTTTAGGACAATTCTACTCTGGTGACCATTTCAGTTGTGTCACAAACACACAGAAAAACCAAGAAAAACACCTTCCGACCCAATAATTCCTGGAGAAAACCCCTGAAATAGATAACCTGTAGCTCAGAAATGAGAAGGCAATTAAAATTTCTCCTAAAACCAAACCCAAATGATTTAAAACTCAATTTCGAGCAGCTGAACTTCCACGTTACAACTGTCACCCCCTTAACAGGAGCCCCCTCTTACAGAGCCGTGTGGTGCTGAGGACAGGGGAGGACATGAGCAGCTTTGTTCTTGGTCCATGAGCTCATCCAACCCCAGAGGCAACAGGGACCGTGTCCCTGGTGTCACACTGGCGGTGGTGATAAAACCTTCCCTTTGCCACAAAGCCAGCTCCTGCATGTGATGGTACTCGCCCTCCACAGGTAGGTCTGGTTTTGGGGTGGCTGTAAACAGTGAAGAATTAATATCAGCCTTTGACTGGGGTATTGCTTCAGTTCTCAGTGACTGGCAAAAATACTACTTATTGCCAATTCTTAATGCCATTTAGATCCCTTTCAATGAAAAAGCTTAATATGTTTTGCGAAGTGTGGATGAAGCTTCCATAATACTTATTTTAAAATGCTTGGCTGAGGTCACGCTGCGGATGGAAACGGGGCAGGTGAGGGAAATGGGGGTTGGTGGGGACCATGTATTTATCTCAATTCATGGGGTCCCCTTTTTCATCCATTTCCCTCAGCCAAGTCTCAAAGAGGGAGAGTCTTCCATTCACCAACAGCTGCTAATAATTATTTCTGATCTTGTTCTTATTAAGAACAAGAAAGAAATCTCCTAAATAGCCGGAAAACCACTAGACCAGGTATCACCTGAGAAAATATTAGCCAAGAGCTTTGGCTTCACAGCCCTCACGATGGGGATGATACGTGACAGGATGATGAGAATATCTTGGTCAAACTGAAACTGGCGTTAGAGATTTGTACCTGTACAGCCTTTGCTGGGGGTTGAATATGATTGAAGTAAATATCTTAATAACAAGAAAACAGAGGGATTTTCATGAGTGTATCTCAAATCCCGGCAGGAGGGAGATATGGGGTTGTCTCTGGTTGGAAAAACAAAGAATGGATTTTCCTGTGCTGAATGTGAAAGAAACTGAGACAAATGTCTGAGAGATCCTGCATGAATTGATGTCTGGGAAAGCTGCCTTCCCCTGGCTTTGGGTGAAGAAGTGAGAAGACACGTCTGTACCTGATGTGGACGTGTGATACACGCACGTCTCCTCCCTTTAAAGTGCCTGTTTTTCTGAAAAGGGTGGTCATCACGAAGGTGGTTTGACCAAGTTGGCTGTGCTGTTTGGCTGGTGCCAGCCCAGACAGCACCCTGGGCTCCCACCTAGCACTGGGGAATCCCAGTTGGGCTATATCATAAAGGCAGTGAGCTTCAGCTGTTCTCAAGCATCCTCTGGAGGCATCTCCCTGTCCCCATCCACCCAGAGCAGGAAGGCTCAGGTGCTGATTAAGCAGCGCAAGTAACTTCTAAGAGACTTTAATGAAATCTATAAGGATCTCCCTGTCTCTTTGTAGCTCCATCTGCCCATCCTGGCTTCATGGGGTAGAAAGGATGGTGGAAATCCCAGTCCTGATTCCAGGATGGTTAACTCTGTCCTTCATGTCAGTGGGAACAGGATGTTCCCTTTGAATTTTATGCAGAGGTTTTAGGCTTTTTTCTTATTTTTGTGCACAGACCACCCTTAAATGACTGAAAAGAACGTGTCCTTTGGTGGTGAGGTGACACAGGAGAAGGACAGTGCCCTCACACAGAGTGGTGGGGATGGGAGGAGAAGGGCAGTGGCTCTTACTGCATCACTCCTCTCGGTTACTGAAAGCTGCTGAATTACACACTCTGAGCCCTGGGGTGGCTCAACCCGTCCCGGATCAATGTGACTCGGACCTGGCAGCGGCACCACCTCACCTTTGCAAAGAGAGCTGAGGGAGAACAGCTAAATCCAACCTCCTCCAGGTATTTCCAACGGGATGGGGACACCTCTGTAGAAGTGCGATATTGTGTGTCTTCTCAAGAGGACACTGGGATACAATTAACTCCTGTCCTTCAGGAGACCAAGTACAGCGTAGTCGCCACCGCCAGTGGCCCAGCTGTCAAACATAAAATTGCTTCGTATTTTCCTGGCTGTTTCAGGAGACCAAGTACAGCGTAGTCGCCACTGCCAGTGGCCCGGCTGTCAAACATACAATTGCTTCATATTTTCCTGGCTGTATTAACATATGGCTCCATCTAAAAGCTTGCATTTTGGAAATAAGAATGACAAATGAGGTGAGACTCCTAAGGTATAAATAAGCTAGAAAACTCTTGTTAGTCTCCATAAAAGTGAGTTCTTACTGAAGTTTCCTTCACTGAGAAATAAGCATCTGCCGAGAGCTGTGCGCTGATTGCTTGATTCTGCAAAACTGTCACGTCTGTGCCTGAGGTAAGTCCTAGTTATAGAGGAATGTCTCTGCATTAAGTGGGATAACACAACGTAGAAGAGATTGAAGGAGATTAGTCTGATTTTACTTTTTATATAGATTTTCTTCTATAAGTGTGAACTCTCTTCATCATTTTAACTGGCAGCCTGGGCTTCTCACACGCAGCTACAAGGAAGGAGCGCAGCTGCTGAACAACACACCTGTGCTCAGGTTCAGGATTTATCTCACCTACCTGAGGATTTAGGATTTCTCTCACTCACCTGGGGCTGAGATTCATAGCTAACTATTCGAGGTTTAATACTCTTAGGCTGCAATAGTTCTCATCCCAAGACATGTCTCTCGGGAGAGCCTGAAGCAGATCTGATGGATCTCACCTTACAAGTGCCTTATTACTCTCCACTAAATATGAAGAGTGCAGAAGCCTCTGTGGATGTTTAAAGTCCAGTTTCCGTTCCCAGAGTGGGGTTTTATCACTTTTATGTATCTAAAATTACACTGTGTTTAGGTTCTCCTCTTGTCAATGGCTTCTGGCTTCTCCCAAGAACGTGAGCTGTCCGGTGTGTTCCCACCCTCCAGAAGCCTCTGTGGATGTTTAAAGTCCAGTTCCCGTTTCCAGAGTGGGGTTTTATCATCACTTTTATGTATCTAAAATTACACTGCGTTTAGGTTCTCCTCTTATCAATGGGAAAAGCTTCTGGCTTCTCCCAAGAACGTGACCTGTCCGGTGTGTTCCCACCCTCTGCAGAGCCCGTGCGCCTGAGTCCTGTTAGACACTGAGATAAATAGTGGTTTGGGTGGAATAAATGGGTGGGTAAATGGCACTTTGAGAGCTGGACAGGATGATTTCTCTCAGCTACAGGCATTTCAGGAATTTGGGATGTTCTAAGCTCTCTTTTATATGATTATGGACAATGTATGTGAGCACTCCATGTTTTCTTCTGACTTTCCAAGTCCTAACAACCCCTTTATCCTCCTTCCTCCCACCACTGCTGGCTTCACCTCAGCCAGACCCATGGCTCCGGGGAACTGCTCAGCACCAGTCACCTTCGTTCTCTCTGGACTGACGGATGACCCTCAGCTGCAAATCCCGCTCTTCCTGGTGTTTTTAGCCACATACATCACCACTTTGCTAACGAATCTGGGCATGATCGCATTAATCAGTATCGATCTCCGGCTTCAGACCCCTATGTATTTCTTCCTCCAGAATCTGGCTTTCCTGGATGCTGTTTATTCCACAGTCATCACTCCTAGAATGTTAATGACATTTTGGGTAGAAATGAAAGCAATTTCATACACAGCTTGCGTTACGCAATATTTCAGCTTCGTTCTGTTGATCGTCTCGGAGTGCTTGCTGCTGGCAGCGATGGCGTACGACTGGTACGTGGCCATCTGTAAACCTCTGCTCTATCCCCTCATCATGTCCAAGAGGACCTGTTGGAGCCTGGTGAAGGGTTCGTACCTCTGGGGGCTTCTGAACTCGGTGATCCACACTGGGGGGCTGCTGAAACTAACCTTCTGTGCCTCCAACCTGGTGAACCATTTCTTTTGTGACATCGTCCCCCTCTTCCAGATTTCCTCCTCGGGCACAGCTCTCAACGAGCTGCTGGTTTTCACTCTCGGCAGCTTGGTCGAGATGAGCAGCATCACCACCACCTTCATCTCATATGTCTTAATTATTCAAACCCTGCTGAGGACCTGCTCCAAGGAAAGAAAATCCAAAGCCTTCTCCACTTGTGCCTCACACCTGGTGACTGTCGCCTTGTTCCATGGAACAATAGCCTTTATGTACTTCCAACCAGCCACCAGCCACTTTCTGGGCACAGACAAACTCATGTCCTTGTTCTACACGGTGGCCATCCCCCTGCTGAACCCCCTCATCTACAGCTGGAGGAACAGGGAGGTGAAGGACGCCCTACGCAGAGCCATAGCCACCAGAACTTTGCTTCACTGACCCTGCGGTTGTCCATGGAGATCTCGGACTGAACCTTAGAGGGTGATCCACAAATAAGTCTAAATTAGAAAGCGACTTAAGGACGTGTTTAGTTTTAAATTTCCATTGCCTATGTATATTAAATACATGTTATGTGTATTTAAGGACTATTTTGAAGAGAATATTTCTTGACCTGAAGTTCTATTGCACATGGAACAGCACCCATAATCCTGAAATGATGCCAAAATACAGGGACAATTTCAGTGTATGGTGGAACCCAGTGGAACTGGGTTTTAAAAAAGTTACCAAGATTTAAGTGATGCGTAAAATAGTGAAATCGGGGATAAGCAATAAAAAGACATAACTATTCATTACAGGAGAAATAAGAGATATGCTTTGTGTTCTTCATTTTTAACAAGATGCCTGGTCGCTTATTTCTAAGATGAAAATGTCACCAGTGGATGGATTGCAATTGGGTCTGTAGAAAAGCAAACTCTCAGCGTGAAGGAGCAGGGATTTCCGCTGTGTGTTTGTGCCTGTAGGGTCAGCAGAGCTGCCTGCCCCGTGCCTGGGGCTTTGTGCAATTAACCTTGTGTCTGTTCCCATACGGTAAGTGCAGTAAAAAAGGGAAATCAGCCCAATTTGGTTATCCCTTTTTGCCCAGAAAAGCCGTGCTCGTCACCAGGTTTTGGGCTGAGGTGGAACTGGGGGATGATGTTTGCCCCCTTGCCTGAGTGGGTCTCAGACTGGTAATGACTGAGAGGGCTGGAACCGTGTCCTGGGCACAACGAGCTGCTGCAGCAAATGCTTTTACAGACTCTTCTGTGTATTTCCAAGGATAGAGACTAATAGGGATGGTGAAAGATACCTCAGAGGCCAACTTTTAGCGAATCAAGAGATTTAATTGGAAAGAATAAAGCGGACAGGCAAAGAGCAAACGTTTGCCTGACTTATTAAAAAAAAAACCCCATCTCACGCAGAGGCTGAGTGTCCTGCCAACAGGCTCCTCTGGGCTCATTCTCCCATCCCAGGCTCCACAGTCGTTCCCAACCTTTTTCCCTTGCAGAACCATTAGATAGTAGCCTGAGTCTGTCCCTTCTATAAAGAAGAACGGATGCCCTGAGCCATGTGCGAGACAGAGTTTTCCAGCCAAAAGAACTGAATTTTCAGTGCTTTATAACAGTCTGGGAATGAGAAGATATTTCTTATGGGAGCTTTTCCACATCGCTGTTTGCTTCTGCCTGTCCAGTTACCCTCGGACCCAACCACCACCACATCCCTAGATACAACTGCCTTGAGCAGCAGCCAGGAGCCTGAGCTCTCATGGAGTGAGTATTCCTCAACACCATGTCATGCTGGCCCTCAGACACATTTCAAGGTATTCTTTCTATTTATAAAACTTCAAATCGTCTGTATCTTTAGGGAGGTAGAAGAATACGTGCCCACCTCTCTGCTGGAGTCCCAGGTAAGAACTTTCTCTTACCACAGCTTTGTCCATAGTCCGTAAGCCTTGGTGGAGAGACTCTTACCAGGGAGCCCACTCTCCTGTTTAATTCAACAGAGGGGAAATCTGTCTCTGCCCTTCACATGGCCCTAGTGTGAAAAGAATTGGAGACATTGGGATCTTAAATAAAGGTAAGGGGTAAGTACCTCTGCTTAAAACCCAGCTTATCTGTGAAGGGAGATGAAAAACAGAGCTTGTGCTTGAGATACAGAGCAAAGCAAGAAAAGGAGACTCCATCCCCGTGGGTGGTGTATTAATTAATCCCTTTCTGTTATAATGCCCTGGCACTCGCAATGCCTGAACTTCGGGGCTGGATGGGAAACCATCTGGCCCTTTGGTGCCACTGGGCTCAGGGAATGAACCTGGGCTGGACTGGGCATGCTGGTGTCTGTGTGACCAAGACATCCAGGATCTGGCAGTCAACTGGAGACTGACCAGTATAACTAACCAGTATGACTAACCAGACTAACCAGCCCTGGGGCTGACGGAGAGTATAAACACTCTCTGGGCGGCACTAACTGTCTCAACTGGCTCCAGCCTGTGCAAAGAGACTCTGAAGTCACTTGGCAATGAAGTGATGGAACCAGTTGTAAACACAATTTGCTTTTCTCGTGGGGCCATTCAACTGAGAGCAATTACTCTACGCTGAGTGCATGCGCTAAAATAGCAATATTAATTAGTGCTGGCCAGTTGTTCCTGGTACCTGGAAAGACAAAACTATAAATGTGGGTATGAGTTTGTTTCTGTCTCACCACTTTTTTCAGCTCGGAGAGAGGGATTCTCCAAAGGCACAATGTGACTGGTTCCTCCCTTCCCTTTACAGGTTTCCCCTGTAAAACCTCCAAGCAGGAAGGTTTTACAGCAGTAAGCTTAAATTACAGATGGAATCACAAAACTTGGAGTTTCCTGATACTGCTTGTTCTGAACTGGACTGAAGAGAAGCACGAGGTGTGGTAAGTCTCTAGGAAATCAAAATAAGCACTAGATTTCAGCTCTATCAGTCATTTCCCTCTGTCTCTCAAAATCGCTTCTCTCCTACTCGGGCTGAGTCTTGCCATGGAAAAATGACACCAAACTCTCCCCGCATCAGCACACTTTTGTCCAATAAACTTCTTTTCTCTAATATAGATATAGAGCCAGCCCTAGAATGAAACCAAACAGGTGAAAGAAAACCCAACTCTGTTCTGTGTTTTTCAGTGACGTTATGCCAGCGTTGATTTCTAATATGAAATAAATATATTTTATAGGACATTTGGTTTTAAGGAAAGCAAGCGGAAAGTTAATCTTCTCATGGAACCGTTAATGAGAGGATCAGAAAGGTAAGCCTTAGGAAAGTATAGAACACTTAACTGTCTTTATTCTGTTGGCTTATTTTTTTATTGTGTAAAAATAGTGACATGGCAGGTATTTTAATCCCGTAATGGACCGCAGGAAAGGGGGTGCAGGGTTCTCAGGACTGAACCGTTCGATATCCCAGTGATGAAAAGCTGGGATGCAGGGGGTTAATGACACCACGGCTCCTTCAACACAAACACTGGGGCTTTTCTTATGTGCCAATACAGCCTCTAAGATGCACTTCTTATTGCTAACAGCGCTGGCTACAGCAGTCTGGGCCATGTCAGAGCTACTCAGGTGAGGCTACTTCTCCCAGCCATGAGTCTGGCTCAATGGGTGGAAGAAAAGAGGCTGAGAGCAGGGAGAAGGGTGTGAAATAACTGGTTATTGCTGTAGATGGAAAAGCCAGGACCGGAGGGGGTGAGCGGGGCAGGGACTGGCGCGAGGGACACCGACCCGTCCCAGGCACTGACGTCTGGTCGTCCTTCTCTATTCCAGCAGGAGACAGTTAATTCAAAGGGATGGCCCAAGCCAACCACACCACCGTGACCGGCTTCATTTTCACGGGATTAACGGACAGAGCGGACCTGCAGCTCCCCCTGTTCGCTGTCTTCTCCCTCATCTACGGGATGACGCTGCTGGGCAACCTTGGGATGATTCTGCTCATCAGGTCTGACCCACACCTCCACACCCCCATGTACTTTCTCCTCAGCAACTTGTCCTTCTTAGACATCTGCTATTCTTCCACCGTCACCCCCAACATGCTGCTCAACTTTTTAACAGCCTCAAAGGGAATTTCGTATGTTGGGTGCCTTACCCAGTACAGCTTCTTTGCCCTTTTTGCCACCACTGAGATGTTTCTCCTGGCCTCCATGGCCTACGACCGCTACGTGGCCATTTGTAACCCACTGCTCTACACAGTCATTGTCACCAAAAGGGTCTGTGTGCTCTTAACAGCTGGCTCGTACCTGGGGGGGGCTGCAAATTCCCTGATACACACCTTTGGCTTGCTGAGGTTGTCCTTTTGCCGCTCAAATGTCATCAATCACTTTTTCTGTGACCTCCTCCCTCTTCTGAACCTCTCTTGCAGTGACACCCACCTCAACAAGCTCCTCGTTTATGTATTTGGCGCTTTAATCGAGGCAACCACTTTTACAGTCGTCATCGTTTCTTACATTTTCATCATTGCCATGGTGCTGAGGATTCGTTCTGCCAAGGGCAGGCAAAAAACGTTCTCCACCTGTGCCTCCCACCTCACCGCTGTTTTCACGTTCCATGGCACCATCCTCTTCATGTATTTCCGCCCCCGCTCCAGCTGCTCGCCGAGCACTGACAAAACCATCTCTGTCTTCTACACAGTGGCCATTCCTCTGCTCAACCCCCTGATCTACAGCCTGAGAAACAATGACGTGAAATGCGCTGCAGGGAAACTCTTGAAGAGGAAGGTCCTTCTGTGCAGGAAGCCTTCCAGAAGGGCACCTGGGGTAACTCCATAAAGTCTCCATTCTCCTGGATATGGATTATCAGATCCTGAATCCTTTGCATTAACTTACTGAGACATGTCATGAAGATTGCTAATTGAGGGATGTGCCGTTAGTCCTGTTCCTGAAGCCTTATTTCAGCAAATTCCCAGTCACTGTGACAGACTGGATCTCCACCACAGAGGACTTCAGCCACCAACCAGTTCTTTGAAACCTTCGGACACCAAATGTGGGATTAATCTGCCTCCTTGAAGTATTTCCATTTGGATATCTAGCTCAAACGTACCCACTTTTTGTAACCCATGAAGAGAGGCAGACACACCACAATTGGAGTAGTCTCCCCAGGAAAGGTGTCTAAGACAGGTTAGACACAGTTCTCTCTAAGTTGCCTATTTTCTCCGTGGACTCTAAGCCTGGGCTTTCCAGCACAGGTCCATGAGGTCTCTGGCACATACCTGACAGTGACAGCCCCTCTTCATTCCCACCACTGGAACTCAACAAATTAAAGGACATTTCCATGATTGAAGTTTTCTAGAAACATTCCCTCTTTCTTCTCAAATGCTGCATCTGGTGATTGCATGCAGAACCAAGTGGAACAAAGAGGTTGCTTCTGAAGATTGTTGAAAAGAGGTTAAGAAAAAATAGAAATATAATTACTGAAGTGCTTTTATATGCAATTCCAATTATTTATTTTTCATTCATTGATGTGCTTCTTCATATTACAGCTTGTTCTTTATGGTACACAGGACACTCTGTGTGCAAATACTATCTCAGCCTTTAGTATAATCTTTTTTCTTCGTCTTACATACAATTTTTTTTCCAAATGAGATTGTTTCTTGGGACTTGTGAATCTTGATGATACAGATCTCTGCTCTAGGTCTGGGTAAAGGCCCTGTAGAACTCTTCAAAAGTCTGTTTACAACTTCTTTACTGTGCCTCTGGCTCTTAGTGTTTAAGGAGGCAACGAGATCTCACCTGAATGAGAGAAACATAATGTGACAATAACATCGACAGCAGCTCAGCTTCTCCTCCCACAATCTCAGCAGGAGCTGGTCATCTGCAGGTCCCTAACTCAGGTGTACACACACACACACAGCAAATGTGAGCAGTAGCTCACTTTCTAGATAAAGAACCATTCTCAGAATATGCTCAGGGAATCTCATTGTTTCCCAAAAGGGGACGCACTTTCTGTTATGTCGGCATCCAACAAAACAGGGGATTTTAAAATCTTTTTTTCTTTATTTCAGTAGCATATGTAATCAACCAAATATAATATTCACCTTCAATCCTCATCAGTTAAAGACCTTATTTTAGGATGGGTTGAGTTGCACAACCGGCTGTTAGAACAGTCAGAGCTTTCTTTCAGCCACTCTCTGAAAACGAGTAGCCGGAGTGGAGAGAGTGGCGAGCCCCTGGGCTGGCATGCCCTGGCTTAACACAGCTTCTTGGTACCAGTGAGCTCAGTGTCCGCTCAAGGGACATGCCAACCAGAAAAGATGGGACAGAGTCATCCTGCCCGTGCCCTACGAGGTTCACAACAGCTCAAACGGTGGCAGGAGAGAGGACATTGTCTCAAAAATTATTGCAAGCATTTGAATAGCCCTGAATGGACCTTTCATACTGTCTGTGTTCCCTGTAGATTTAACTTCAACCCCGATTTTCCATTGTGCTACAGACACAGAATATTTCTGAGGCTTCTTTCCCCGTTCCCGAGTCTCAGCCGAGCAGACGGGATTTGCCTTAAATGGGGCAATTCAGGACTGTGAACTCACTTGTTTCGTGCGTGTTGCTGTGGGAGACCAGCCCTCCCTTCGCCCGCTGAAAGGCTCCCAGGAGGACAATTTAATGATTTCCTTTGTGTTCGATCTGAAAAATATTAGCGGAAGACTCAGTTGTTTGTGAGCATTTGGTTCCTAATAGCCAAAGTAGTAAATACTTGCAGCAGAAGGTCCTGAGATGATCTCTCAGGCTTGAGGGATGAGCTGCTGCCCTGTGCTGCATTCAGGTGTGAAACACTATTTCTTCTTTTTTTACCTCTTCCTTGACATTTTCACACACTTCTCACTGCCACATCAATGCAGTGAGCCAGCCACGTATGTTTCATTTGGTTGTGTGATTTCTCTAAGGAGAAACTACAGATCACACACATCAAGCAAGATCATGGAAGAGCTTGGAACACCCAGCCAAAAGAAACCTTTGTATGGATAGAGACAGGTTGGGACGGCATCCTGGAGAGTGGAACCCAGACCTCTGCAGTGTCAGAGTGTTTGGAAGTTCAGGAAAGACTGGAGAGAGAGAAGGGCGTCCGCCTGTAGAATCCAGGTATGTCCATGACAGTTTTAGCTCTGACCTGTCAGCCTAGACTTGATATTTTCCATGCTCTCAACACTCCACCAGCCCGTGCTGACAGACTGCTTTGAACAATCCAGGGGCTGAGCACACGAGAAAGAGCAGGAAGGGAAGAGCAATATTGCTCTTGTGTCTTACACCCAGAGAACTCAAGTTCTCTTGTTTCTTTTGTGAAATACCGCACTGTGAGTTGTAGCATCAGCAGAACAATGGGGAAACTTCAGCCATAAGACCACAGAGGTGACCAACCTCTTTGGGTAATTTCTATGAACTTTAGATTTATTAACCACTTATGTTCCAAGTTAAACATCCCCACTTCTTTTCTGGTTAACTGAAGAAGTCATGACCCCTCGAAGGGCAATTCCCTCCATTGAGAAGCTCTTACAGGCTGCTCGCTCCTGTCACCCCAGGAGGTGAAATAACCAGAATGAGGAGTTGACTTCATTGTTATTAATCATCCATCCATCACAGAAGCACCCCAACTGACTGAGATGTTTGGATTAAATGTGGACATGTAAATGGTAATTGTGTGATCGTCTGAAAACATCTCCTGATCTTGACTCAAAAGTTAGCAAGAAATCCAGACACCTAAAAATTAAACTGATACTCATTCCTGTGTTGTTTCTGTGTTTTACACAAGTTATTTGTGGATAAAACATAGAACAAGTCACGAGAAGAGGGACTAGATCTCACCTCCTGCCCCACACCAGCCATGGACTCTCCTCTACGAAGCAGAAGGTTTGGACCTGCGTCAATTAAGTCATGAAACTGACTCAAACCTGTAACTTTCTCACTTTCTACTTGAGTGTTTTTAAAAGCTGGCTGTTGTTAAATGCCATGTTTTCTTTCAGTAGCACATTGAAGGAAAGCTGCCACGGGGAGTGCCTCTGGCGGAGAACCGCACGCTGCAGGAGCCTCGGGCACAGCACTGAGAGGGTCGTCCATCCAGGCTCCCCCGCGAGTGATGGAGGTGCTTCCATAGACCAAAGAGAGAGGTAGGATTTTAGGTGAGATACCTCTACTTTGGACAAAATAAGCTCCGGTGAGATTAATTCTTCCCTAGTGAGTAAATGATGTGAAATACCTGGCTGAAAAGATGAAAGATGGTGTAGGACTCATTCAGTGTCTAGTATATGTGCTTCCAAAGCCACCAGTGATACCTGTGTGTCAGACTGAGCATCACCTAAACCATCAATCAGTAGCTGCACTGTCACGGACGTGCGTTGTGGTACCCCCCAAAAACCACTGGGCACCTTGCTCCTACAGGTGGTTGGGCTGGCTTGGGCTGGGTCTGGGATGAGCTTGGCCATGGGGATTGGCAGAAACAGGATCAGCATTTTTAAGGATGCTCTGAAAAATTGCAGCCCACATGAAAGGGAAGCAAGGCCCAGGTACCTAATCTCAGCCCTTGTCTTGCTTCATAGTAAGTTACTCCATGAAATGTATTAATGAACAACCTTTCTTCCCTTCTTGTCTTTATGGTCCCGGCATATCTCATCTCAGCAGATAAGCTGCTACAGAGGCCAGCATGGTGAGCAACCACACCACAGTGACTTACTTCATCCTCTTGGGACTGACAAATCGTCCAGAACTACAGCCCCTGCTCTTTGTGATGACCCTACTGATCTACGTTGTCACCCTCGTGGGCAACCTCAGCATGATTGGCTTGATCGCCATTGACTTCCAGCTGCAAACGCCCATGTATTTCTTCCTTGTGAATTTGTCAGTTGTGGATCTCTGTTATTCCTCAGTTTTTGCCCCAAGGATGCTGGTAAACTTCCTGGTGGAGAACAAGACTATTTCTTACTCAGCGTGCGTTGCCCAGCATTTCTCCTTTGTCGTGTTTGTGACCACGGAGGGGTTCCTGCTGGCCGTCATGGCTTACGACCGCTACCTGGCCATCTGCAGCCCACTGCTTTACACCGCCCTTATGCCCAGGAAGGTCTGCATTTGGCTGGTGGCTGGGTCCTACCTAGGGGGACTCCTTAACTCCTTAGTACACACTTGTGGCTTACTGCAATTGTCGTTCTGCGGCCCTAATGCCATCAACCACTACTTCTGCGACACGAACCCACTGCTGCAACTAGCGTGCTCTGACAGGCACATCAACGAGGTGCTGCTCGTGACCCTCTCGGGGCTCATAGCTATGTCAACTCTTCTGTTTGTCATCGCCTCCTACCTCTCCATCCTCCTCTCGATGCTGAGCATGAGCTCCACAAGCAGGCACAAAGTCTTCTCCACCTGTGCCTCCCACCTGACGGCCGTCACCCTCTTCTATGGGCCCGTGAGCTTGAGCCACGTGCAGCCCAGTTCAAAATACTCACTGGAACGGGAGAAAATCTCTGCAGTGTTTTACACCCTGGTCGTTCCCATGCTGAACCCCCTGATCTACAGCCTCAGGAACAAGGAGGTGAAAAACGCCCTCAGAAGGGTGATGGGGAGGAAGAAATGCCGTTCACTGACTTGCCTGTCAGAGTAATAGAGTTGTCGAGATCAGAAGAAAAATCATCCCATCCTAAGAGACACCACTAAGATTGCTAAGATGTATGATTCTCCATAAAGCGTACTTTTCTCCTCTGGCTTAGGTGGAGTTCAGCGTAGTAGCTTGGCCTCAGATTAGTATTTTTAAGACTCAAACAATGAATCTCACAGAGTCTTTAAGACTCTGGATCTTGATGCATTTGACTCTTGATGCTCTTCTTTCTATCTACTGGTTTTACCCACCCGAAAGCTCACGGTCTGCTCTAGAGTTCCCTCCTCTGGCTGATTTCAACCAAAGACCATGGTACGAGGCTTTGCCTCTCCCTCAGTATTGATATCCTATGAAGAATACGGTCTTTAAACCCCTCATATTGAAAACGTTCAGTTGTTGCTTTGTGAGGAACTGTGTTCATCACTCAGGTTCAACAGACCCACTGACACAGAAGTTAACCCCTTGCAGTTTACTTCTGCTCAAGTTTCAGGCCATTAGACTCAAGGAAGCAATTAGTAAACACGGAAAGAAGAGCATCGAGGGAAATAATCAGTCCCTTCGTGTGATAAAACATGTAGGGAAAAGCTCCAGCTCCCAGAAGCACATTGCAGGGCTCTCCTTTAAGAGAAAACTGTTCCTTGCACACCACCTTGAACCAATTCCTAAACTCAGTGTGAGACTCGTGTGCTCTGCAGAGGGTGTAGGGCTGGGTGGCCACTCCTCTCCCAAGGCCACGGTGCCCCACAGCTGGTGTGTGCAGACAGGCAGACTGCTGGCTTGTGAGACCTGGGACAGATTTCAGTGCCCAACAACTTGCAATTTTATTTCTCAGTGTAACGAGCCTAGAAAATTGCATCAGATCACTCAGTTGAGGAAGGGTCATTAAGAGAAAAGCAGGAAGGAAAAGAAAATACTTGGAGGCAAGAGGTTAAAATTAAATATTTTTTGAAGTCCAGCCTCAGAAAAACAGTTAACGCCTGAGGTGTGTGGCTACCTGCTTCTCCCAGTGTGAATTTGGGCTGTGCAGAGCCAATCCCAGGTAAGGAACTGCAATGTGGACATTCGTTAGACCGGCTCGTTATCGTGGGCATCGGCTGCAAAGCTCTTGATGCACCACTCAACCTCATCCTCTCCTCAGTGGTGGCTTCGCAAAGCTCTCTCTGCCTTTCCATCTCTTCCCCTCCAGGTCTCTGCTTCGCTGTCGCTCCCTCTTCGCTGAACACAAATTTGCCATTTCCTTCAGTTTTGTGCCTGATGTCAGCACGGAGCTCGGGACTTTCCCCCAGGGTTCAGGATGCTCATGAAGGGCTGTGTGCCAAAGCCAGCTACACACCAGCACGGGCAGATGGAGTTAATCTTTAAAATTTTAAGAATATCGGAAAATGCCACCAGCTGTGTAGCTACACCCTCCAGGAGTTAAATAAAATGACCCTGAGCTTTCCATCATCATTCTCTGTGAAAGTAGTGTCCAACAACGCTTTTCCAGGTCTCCCTCTTCTTAGGTATGTCTGGGGGGGCTCCAGTTTTGGGGGTGTATCAGGAATACAGACATCTGAGAGTGGTGAGTTTCAGCATCTGTATTGCTCATGATGAGGAAGAAATAACTAGTTGAAATAAGTAATTCCAGCTGCAACTGAAACAGTTGTAGAATGAAGAGATCCCTCTAAAAGTTTTCTGATTTGGGGTTTGTTCATTCTTTTTCAATTTGGGATTTTTTGTTTAGGATTTGGGTTTTTTTGTTATAGGACACCTAATTTTCTGATTTGGGGTTTGTTCATTCTTTTTTGGTTTGAGATTTTGTGTTTAGGTGGGTTTTTTTGTTATAGGACACCTAGATTTTTGAATGTTTTGGCTACATAAAATTTTGGCAAGGAAAGGAAAGGGACAAGAATCCCAGATTAAAGTCAGCTGGGTGGAAAGAATGCCATGTACTCGCTTTAGAGCTCACTCAGTTATACAGAACCTTAGGGGGATTCAAATTCAGGGTTACGTTGCTCGCTGCGGTATTTTGCCAGATTCATGTGCTCCATCTGGCCTGGAATGAAACAAAACTTCAGCTCCAAATTTTTGTTGTACCTCACCTTGCATCAAGCAGAAGGCTTATGGCATGACCGGGCTATGATTTCAGAATAAACCTAAAACGGCCACAAGTTACTCATCACACCTTCATCCTGACCACTCTTTGTCATCCAGCAGTTCTCCCACTGGACCCCTCGAGACCAATGGCCGGGAGGAACGGCAGCACGATAACCCATTTCATCCTCCTAGGACTGACAGACCAGCTGCAGCTCCCTTTGTTCTTCATATTTTTAGTGATCTACATCGTCACGGTGCTGGGGAACCTTGGGATGATCATTTTGATTTGGACTCATCTCCAGCTTCACACTCCCATGTATTTCTTCCTCGGTAACTTGTCTGTGATCGACCTCTGCTATTCTACTGTCTTTGCTCCAAGGCTGCTGCTGAGCTTCTTAACGGGGAGCAAAACCATCTCCTACTCCGCGTGCCTTTCCCAGAGCTTCCTTTTTGCGCTTTTGGCCACCACGGAGGCGTTCTTGCTGTCTGCAATGGCCTATGACCGGTACGTGGCCATCTGCAGTCCCCTGCTCTACACTTCTGTCATGACCAAGAGGGTCTGTGTGCAGCTGGTGGTGGGGTCGTACATGCTGGGGCTCCTGAACTCACTGACACAAACCTGTGGCTTGCTGAGACTGCCCTTCTGCGGGCCCAATGTCATCAACCATTACTTCTGTGACGTTCCTCCCTTGCTGCAACTGGCCTGCTCGGACACCCGCCGCAATGAGATTTTGCTCTTAGTTTTCTCCGCGGTTCTTAGTCTCCTGACCCTCCTGGTCATCGCCGTTTCCTACGTGCGCATCCTCTCGGCCATCCTGCGGATCCGATCGGACCAGAGCAGGAAGAAAACCTTCCACACCTGCGCCTCTCACCTGACAGCCGTCACCATCTTCTACGGCTCCGTCTCCTTTAGCTACATCCAGCCCAGCTCCAGCTACTCGATGGAGCAGGAGAAAGTCTCAGCAGTGTTCTACACCCTGGTCATCCCCATGCTGAACCCCCTCATCTACAGCCTGAGGAACAAGGAGGTGAGGAACAGCTTCAGGAGGACTCTTAGGGCAAGACGGCTTCTCCACTAAGGAGTGCAGCTCCTCACAAATGAGGGAAAAGGGTTTGAGGGTATGGTTCCACATAGAAAAAAATAGAATTATTTTTTTTTTTTAGTAAAGAGCATGCATAGTATTATCAAGTACAGTTGTCCTTTATGGCACTGTGTTGGGACACCATGAAGATCTCACTGTATTTTCCAAAGCAGCGTGTCCTGAACGGCCTCTTTGCAAGCGGGAAGGATTGTCCCAAAGCAGCCCCCGTTCTCAGCTCACCCCATGCTGCGCTGTCATTAACACTGCAGGTAGAAACAAAGCTCAATGACCCTCTGAAGGAATGTCAGAAGGACTTTGCGTGATTGTTATTGTTTCTTTATTCCATACCAGATGATACAGACATTTGTTATTGGGCTTATACCCAGTTAGCTCCTGCCTATGCATGAAATGTTCAGCTTTTGTCTTAAATTCAGAAGCCACTGATAAGAAATACATAGAATAATTCACGTTTCTTTTCATCCTGCCTCATCTTTAGCTTAATCTCTGCCCTAGGAACTGTTGGAAATATAGCACTGATAATATGTCACACTTTAAATCTATGTCCAGATACCCTGTAATTCTTTCAAAGCAAGCCATGTTTTTAAAAGATACAAATTTTTTTAAGGGGGGGGGCGAAATGTTAGTATCAAAAAGTTGGCTGTGTGTCTTTTTTTGTGGAAGATTAATGATTTTCAATGTACTTAAGAGGCTTCATAGCCGTAGCTAAAACTGTAACTATTACGATCAGGTTTCTTTAAAGAAAAAAACTTCCTCAAAAAGATTAGGAAAAAAATCTTCTTCTCCAGAAGCCCTCCCTCTCCAGGCACAGTTTTTCACCTCCTTCTGGTCCATATTTAATTCAGACCCCGAGCCCCCCGGGCTGCAGAGAACCCACAAAAAACGGGCTGGGTGAGTTCTGAATTAAAGAACCCCCTCAGTGAGTTCACTTCAGTGTGAATTCACAAAATGTTTTGTGAGAGCATTTGTAAAGATCTCTATTCACCATCAGGGAACAAAATCAGTACTATTAGATCCAGAAATAAGCTCAGCTGGAGAAGATTCTGACAGCTTTATCCTGGAGTTCTCTGCCCACTGAAGTGAGCGAGCCTTTATGGTCGCAAAGCAGCAGCAGTTTCCTAAATTTTTGAGGACAAAAGCGGATGAGGACAATTTTCCTCTAAAAAAAGGCCAGAGTTCAATACTGAAACACACATTAACAACAGCCAGAGGTGTCTGGATTTTGAATGGAAAAAAAAAATTAATTTTTTTGAAAAGGCAAAGTGAAGATTTGCTTTGTTCGACCAGAGATGTCTAAGATGAGGTAGATTCATTGATTCCAGCTGGGGAGAAAGATGGGATCTGAGAAGCTCTATACAGACACAGAACAGAATGAGGACGTCTCATAAGCCCCCATCTCATATGGAGATACACGTATATGGCTTCATACTGCAGGGGCTCGTCCAAAGAAAGCCTGAGGAATTTCTGAGAGCTGATTTTCCCTCATGTGAGGATCCAGCCTGTGTTATCCATCACTGTCACTAACAAGCTCAACAATGGTCTCCTTTTTCCTATCCCATGCAATAAAGTGGTACATCAGCTCCTGCAAGGAACACTCGGGGTGGTTACATGCACTCTGGAGCCGCACATAAACATCGGTTTCAGGTGTCTCTGCTTGGCTTTAGTTTGGTCCCTGAAGCCAGGAGTATCTACTCCTGTCTCCTCACTGTTGGGTTCCTCAGCCTCTCCTCCTGCTGCCCACACACTGAAAGGAGCACACAGACCCCATTGGCCACAAAGCATTATCTTGACTCACATCTTAGATCAAAAAGGGGTTGTGGGAGTTACCAAACCCACTGTTGGCTGTAAAGGTTCCTGTCAGGCCCCAGAGTGCATTAATTAGCCATAATGACCCTGATCAGCCTCACCTGGAGCCTCCACCCACACTCACAGGGCCAGGAGCTCTATTTAAGCTCAGCCCTGGGGTTTTGCTTTCTTTTGGAGCTCTGTTAGGGGAGCACTGGTTGCTGCCTGGCCATGGAGCCTCTTGCACTAGACCCTGACCTTGGCCCTGCCTCGTCCTTCTGAACCTGCCTAGACCTGAACCTGACCCTTGGCTTGGACTTGGACCTGCCTCATCATCATGGTGGCTGAGGGAACTGGGGGTGTTCAGCCTGGAGAAAAGGAGGCTGAGGGGAGACTTTCTCGCTCTCTCCAACTCCCTGAAAGGAGGGTGTAGCCAGGGGGGGTCGGTCTCTTCTCCCAAGGAACAGGCGATGGGACAAGAGGAAACGGCCTCAAGTTGTGCTGGGCAGGTTAGATTGGATATTAGGAGAAAAATCTTAACCAAAAGGGCTGTCAAGCCTTGGAAGAGGCTGCCCAGGGCAGTGGGGGAGTGCCCATCCCTGGGGGGGTTTAAAAGATGGGTAGATGTAGTTCTTAGAGATATGGTTTAGTGATGGTTTTTTGTCAGTGTTGGGCTGATGGTTGCACTCGATGGTCTGAAAGGTCCTTTGTGTGACTCCATGGCACTGCCTGCAGCCCAAGGACAGGCTGCATCTACTTGAGTATAGATTGTTAAAGAGAACCAGAGACACTGCCTCTCCTGAGCTGGAGGAGCCGCATTGCCTGGAAGCAAACAGCTCTTCCTGCTTGCTCGGTGCCTCAGCAATGTCCCCAAGGAGACATGGAGCAATGTCCCCAAACCGCTTGTGCTGCCAAGGAGAGAATCACTTTTGCCCCTTTTTATTAAAAGGAGACTGAGGCAGAAGGGAGTGGATTTGCCAAAGGCCTGAGTATTGACTTCAGCCTGGGGCTGGGCTTAGATCTTCTCCTTTTCTGCGGCACTGTGATGTCACAGAGGTGTCCCCCCTGCTGGGCTGTGACCTCACCAGGGTCCCTATAAAACATGGAGCAACCCCACGTGTGTCCGTGGTGGACTGCTCGTCCTTGGTGTCCTGCCGTCCACCAGGTGCCAGGACGGGAAACAGGAAGGTAGGTGGAGGGCACAGGGCAAGGGACAATGTGCCAGTCTGTTGTCTTCCTTCTTGCCACCAAGGAGAGCAGGACCACGCCAGGCACCGTGCCAGTGTGTCTGCAGCACATGAAGGGTGTGTGAGTGCGCAGGTCTGTGACACGTTGGGCTCTTGCACATGAATGAGTCTGAGAGCACAAAAACGGGAACAATTTGGAGTAACAAGCTGAGATGGCACCCAAAGACACCCCTGGTGTCACCCGTCTGCCCCAGGATGTCCTCAACACTTGTGGCAGCAGAAGCACAGCCCTCTGGCTGAGCTCCCAGCTCTGTAGCAGCAGGTTGTGTCTCCATGGTAGGTCATGAGCTTTGCATCCCTTCATTTGCAGTATGACATGGCATCAGAGGAAGACAAGGACAAGGACAAGGACCTGGCAGAAGAAGGCACATCTTCCCCTGTGGCCAGCACCAGCCAGGAGACCCAGACCACGCCACCGGAGGCTCCTGAGGATGCAAGCCCCCTGGTCCCCCAGGACACCAGCGATGCCGAAGACTGCACGAGCTGGTGCAGGCACTGCTTCTGCTTCTCCTGCGTGCAGGAGTGGGCCAGCAGAGAAGACAGATGCCCCAACTGCCAGCAGCCCGTCCGGCACCAGTTCCCCCGGCTGGGACCTCACAACCACCAGGAGCAGGACATCGCGCCCGGAGAGAGACCTCGACACCACTGGGCAGAAAGGGGTCATTCCTCCGGCAGCCAGCGCCGCAGCTCTTCCAGCAGAGCCCACCACGGTGGCCATGCTGGGGCCACGGGGAGGGGACGAAACAGGTCCCAGAGCTGGCACCAAGATGGCCACAGCAGGGCTGGGCACAGCCGGGGCCACAACTCCTCCAGAAGCGGGAGGTGGCAGTGGAGCAGGTCTCAGGACAGTGGTCACAGTGAGAGCCGAGCTCCAAGGCACGAAGGGGATGTCCCAGTCTCCGGGCGGAGGAGCCAGCGGGCAGGCGGGGACACCTTCAGGGACCAGCACGCCACAAGGAGACGATCCCAGCAGAGGTCCCAAGCTGGGAGGGTGCGCTCTTGGGGCCACCGCGGCAGACAGGGTGTCCTACGGTGGTGGGACAGGGACGAGGAGCATCCCCGTGACTGGGACAGGCAATGGAGAAGGCGAGGCCACAGGGGGGACATGGGCACAGCAGCCCATGGCTCCTCTGCGAGCTGGAGGTGGTGGAGGAGCAGGGATCGGGACCAGAATCGAGGTCCACGGTCTCAACGGGACAACCAGGACTATGCAGGGAGGAGCCGATACTGGTGGGGGTCCCGTGGCACTGGGGGTCGAGCACGAACACGGCGGGAGTGGCAAAGGAGGAGGAATTGGCACCAGGGGCGAGGTCCACGGCCTCAACGGGACGCCCGGGACTACTCGGGGAGGAGGTGGTCCCACAGCAATGGAGGCCAAGCAGGATCATGGCAAAGGAGGAGGGATTGGGACCAGGGGCGAGCTCCACGGTCCTGGCGGGGAGTCCCAGCTCACTCCAGGAGAAGAGAACGCCGGCGGCGGAGAAGCCACGATTCCCCCAGAGAGGGGAGTGCACAAAGGAGGCAATCCCGGCGCAGGACCTTGTAGCCCACCCTACCAACACGGGGAACGCCACGCTCGCCCCCCAACCAACGCCTGGAGGGCAGCACATCCAGCCCAGGGACACCAAAGGCCCTCGAGATGGTGGTCGTGTGGCTGCTGAGGGGCACGTGGATGGTGGCAGTGGGACAGTCACAATCTGGGATGCCACCGGCTCTGGCAGTGGCCTGCACCACTGCTTCTCCTGAGAAATGAAAGCCCTCCTGACACCTCGTTTCGTGGCAACCCCTCTGGGCAACTCCTTCCAGCACTTCACCTCCCTCCAAATAAACAGGTTTTGTAAAATCATTAGCTACAGGTCCCTGTATCTCAGTCCGTGCCCATTGTCTCTTGTCCTGTCACCGGACAGTGCTGAGAAGGGACTGCAGGAGCAGAGAGGCTCAGGAGAA